GGAGATGTGCAGGGAGCAGGAGGGCTGGGCGGTGGGAGAGTCTATGTTGGATACTCTGGGAAGATATCCTTGATCTGATTAATTATTAAATAATAACAATTATTAATTATTCACCAAAATGACAGACTGGATTCTAGATACTGGGAGGACCCTGAAGTGAACCCATCCTCTGCATTAGGTCTTGGAAGATGGGGGGAAGTTGCCCAGGGAGGAAGGGAAGAAGAACATTCCAGGCAGAGGGAGAAGTCTGAACAAAAAAGGTGACTGGCCTGCTTGGAGAACAGGAAATCAATCAAATGGCTCTAACTATAATAAAAGATAGGGAAGAGAGGTGGAAGGAGTTTGGGGAAGACTGTGAAGAGCTTTGAATGTAGAAAGGGAGTTGTTCTTGGTCTTATAGGTCATAGGGAGCCCCAGTCGTGAGCCAAATTTATTTTATTTTATTTATATTTTATTTTTTTAAAATAAATAAAAACATTCTGCCTTGGCCTCCCGAGTAGCTGGGATTACTTGTGCCTGCCACTGTGCCTGGCTAATTTTTGTAGTTTTAGTAAAGATGGGGTTTCACCATGTTGGCCTAGTTGGTCTTGAACTCCTGACCTCGTGATCCACCTGCCTCGGCCACCCAGTGCTGGGATTACAGGTGTGAGCCACAGCACCCAGCCTTCAGGTAGTTGTTTATAGCAGTGGGACAAAGGACTAATAGACCCTCCCTTTTCTCATGTAAATATCTCAGTCCTTAGATGTAGGGCCCCTGCTAACCCAGAATGATCTTGCTGTAATTTGATAACATCTGAAAAGACTCATTTCCAAATGAGACCAGATTTACAGGTACCGGAAGTCAGGACTTGAACATATATTTCTGAGGACACAGTTTAATCCTCTATGTTGGGGTTTCCATAGTTGCTCATAGTCAAGTTGAGGAAGTTTCCTTCTCTTTCTAGTTTGTTGCTGTGTTTGTTTAAACAGTGACTTATACTTACAGAGATTTAAATAGCAATAAAAGTCTTATATGCTTATCTATGTACTTTTCATTTCCTATGCTCTTTGTTTCTTTCTGTCAATCCAGATTTTCATCTGTTAT